ACACAGTGCCTCACAGTCACAGTCACAGTCCCTCTCCCTCACACAGTCCCTCACAGTCACAGTCCCTCTCCCTCACACAGTCCCTCACAGTCACAGTCACAGTCCCTCGCCCTCACACAGTCACAGTCACAGATCCTCTCCCTCACACAGACACAGTCACAGTCCCTCTCCCTCACACAGTCACAGTCCCTCTCCCTCACACAGTCACAGTCCCTCTCCCTCACACAGTCACAGTCACAGTCCCTCTACCTCACACAGTCACAGTCCCTCTCCCTCACACAGTCACAGTCACAGTCCCTCTCCCTCACACAGTCACAGTCGCTCTCCCTCACACAGTCACAGTCACAGTCCCTCTCCCTCACACAGTCACAGTCACAGTCCCTCTCCCTCACACAGTCACAGTCCCTCTCCCTCACACAGTCACAGTCCCTCTCCCTCACACAGTCACAGTCCCTCTCCCTCACACAGTCACAGTCCCTCTCCCTCACACAGTCACAGTCCCTCTCCCTCACACAGTCACAGTCCCTCTCCCTCACACAGTCACAGTCCCTCGCCCTCACACAGTCACAGTCCCTCTCCCTCACACAGTCACAGTCACAGTCCCTCTCGCTCACACAGTCACAGTCACAGTCCCTCTCCCTCACACAGTCACAGTCCCTCTCCCTCACACAGTCACAGTCCCTCTCCCTGACACAGTGCCTCACAGTCACAGTCACAGTCCCTCTCCCTCATACAGTCCCTCACAGTCACAGTCACAGTCACAGTCACAGTCCCTCTCCCTCATACAGTCCCTCACAGTCACAGTCACAGTCCCTCTCCCTCACACAGTCCCTCACAGTCACAGTCACAGTCCCTCTCCCTCACACCGTGCCACACAGTCACAGTCACAGTCCCTCACACAGTCCCTCACAGTCACAGTCTCAGTCCCTCTCCCTCACACAGTCCCTCACAGTCACAGTCACAGTCCCTCTCCCTCACACAGTCCCTCACAGTCACAGTCACAGACCCTCTCCCTCACACAGTCCCTCACGGTCACAGTCCCTCTCCCTCACACAGTCACAGTCACAGTCAAAGTCCCTCTCCCTCACACAGTCACAGTCACAGTCCCTCTCCCTCACACAGTCCCTCTCCCTCACACAGTGCCTCACAGTCACAGTCACAGTCCCTCTCCCTCACACAGTCCCTCACAGTCACAGTCACAGTCCCTCTCCCTCACACAGTCCCTCACAGTCACAGTCACAGTCCCTCGCCCTCACACAGTCACAGTCACAGATCCTCTCCCTCACACAGACACAGTCACAGTCCCTCTCCCTCACACAGTCACAGTCCCTCTCCCTCACACAGTCACAGTCCCTCTCCCTCACACAGTCACAGTCACAGTCCCTCTACCTCACACAGTCACAGTCCCTCTCCCTCACACAGTCACAGTCACAGTCCCTCTCCCTCACACAGTCACAGTCGCTCTCCCTCACACAGTCACAGTCACAGTCCCTCTCCCTCACACAGTCACAGTCACAGTCCCTCTCCCTCACACAGTCACAGTCCCTCTCCCTCACACAGTCACAGTCCCTCTCCCTCACACAGTCACAGTCCCTCTCCCTCACACAGTCACAGTCCCTCTCCCTCACACAGTCACAGTCCCTCTCCCTCACACAGTCACAGTCCCTCTCCCTCACACAGTCACAGTCCCTCGCCCTCACACAGTCACAGTCCCTCTCCCTCACACAGTCACAGTCACAGTCCCTCTCGCTCACACAGTCACAGTCACAGTCCCTCTCCCTCACACAGTCACAGTCCCTCTCCCTCACACAGTCACAGTCCCTCTCCCTGACACAGTCACAGTCACAGTCCCTCTCCCTCACACAATAAGAGTCACAGTCACAGTCCCTCTCCCTCACACAGTGACAGTCACAGTCACAGTCACAGTCCCTCTCCCTCACACAGTCACAGTCACAGTCCCTCTCCCTCACACAGTAAGAGTCACAGTCACAGTCCCTCTCCCTCACACAGTAAGATTCACAGTCACAGTCCGTCTCCCTCACACAGTCACAGTCACTGTCCCTCTCCCTCAGAAGGTCACAGTCACAGTCCCTCTCCCTCACAAAGTGACAGTCACAGTCACAGTCCCTCTCCCTCACACAGTAAGAGTCACAGTCACAGTCCGTATCCCTCACACAGTCACAGTCACAGTCACTCTCCCTCACACAGTCACAGTCACAGTCCCTCTCCCTCACACAGTCACAGTCACAGTCCCTCTCCCTCACACAGTCACAGTCACAGTCCCTCACCCTCACACAGTCAGTCACAGTCCCTCTCCCTCACACAGACACAGTCCCTCTCCCTCACAGAGTCACAGTCCCTCTCCCTCACACAGTCACAGTCACAGTCACAGTCCCTCTCCCTCACACAGTCACAGTCACAGTCCCTCTCCCTCGCACAGTCACAGTCACAGTCACAGTCCCTCTCCCTCACACAGTCGCAGTCCCTCTCACTCACACAGTCACAGTCCCTCTCCCTCACACAGTCACAGTCCCTCTCCCTCACACAGTCACAGTCCCTCTCCCTCACAAAGTAACAGTCACAATCCCTCTCCCTCACACAGTCACAGTCACAGTCCCTCTCCCTCACACAGTCATAGTCCCTCTCCCTCTCCCTCACACAGTCACAGTCCCTCTCCCTCACACAGTCACAGTCCCTCTCCCTCACACAGTCACAGTCATAGTCACAGTCACAGTCCCTTTCCCTCACACAGTCACAGTCCCTCTCCCTCACACAGTCACAGTCCCTCTCCCTCACACAGTCACAGTCCCTCTCCCTCACACAGTCACAGTCACAGTCTCTCTCCCTCACACAGTCACAGTCACAGTCCCTCTCACTCACACAGTCACAGTCACAGTCCCTCTCCCTCACACAGTCACAGTCACAGTCCCTCTCCCTCACACAGTCACAGTCACAGTCCCTCTCCCTCACACAGTCACAGTCACAGTCACAGTCCCTCTCCCTCACACAGTCACAGTCACAGTCCCTCTCAATCACACAGTCACAGTCCCTCTCCCTAACACAGTCACAGTCCCTCTCCCTCTCACAGTCCCTCACAGTCACAGTCACAGTCCCTCTCCCTCACACAGTCCCTCACAGTCACAGTCCCTCTCCCTCACACAGTCACAGTCCCTCTCCCTCTCACAGTCCCTCACAGTCACTGTCACAGTCCCTCTCCCTCTCACAGTCCCTCACAGTCACAGTCCCTCTCCCTCTCACAGTCCCTCACAGTCACAGTCACAGTCCCTCTCCCTCACACAGTCCCTCACAGTCACAGTCCCTCTCCCTCACACAGTCACAGTCCCTCGCCCTCACACAGTCAAAGTCCCTCTCCCTCACACAGTCACAGTCACAGTCCCTCTCGCTCACACAGTCACAGTCACAGTCCCTCTCCCTCACACAGTCACAGTCCCTCTCCCTCACACAGTCACAGTCCCTCTCCCTGACACAGTCACAGTCACAGTCCCTCTCCCTCACACAGTCACAGTCACAGTCACAGTCCCTCTCCCTCACACAGTCACAGTCACAGTCCCTCTCCTTCACACAGTCACAGTCACAGTCCCTCTCCCTCACACAGTAAGAGTCACAGTCACAGTCCCTCTCCCTCACACAGTGACAGTCACAGTCACAGTCACAGTCCCTCTCCCTCACACAGTCACAGTCACAGTCACAGTCCCTCTCCCTCACACAGTAAGAGTCACAGTCATAGTCCCTCTCCCTCACACAGTAAGAGTCACAGTCACAGTCCGTCTCCCTCACACAGTCACAGTCACTGTCCCTCTCCCTCACAAGGTCACAGTCACAGTCCCTCTCCCTCACACAGTAAGAGTCACAGTCACAGTCCCTCTCCCTCACACAGTGACAGTCACAGTCACAGTCCCTCTCCCTCACACAGTAAGAGTCACAGTCACAGTCCGTCTCCCTCACACAGTCACAGTCACAGTCACTCTCCCTCACAAAGTCACAGTCACAGTCCCTCTCCCTCACACAGTCACAGTCACAGTCCCTCTCCCTCACACAGTCACAGTCACAGTCCCTCTCCCTCGCACAGTCACAGTCCCTCTCCCTCACTCAGTCACAGTTCCTCTCCCTCACACAGTCACAGTCCCTCTCCCTCAAACAGTCACTGTCCCTCTCCCTCACACAGTCACAGTTCCTCTCCCTCACACAGTCACAGTCCCTCTCGCTCACACAGTCACAGTCCCTCTCCCTCACACAGTCACAGTTCCTCTCCCTCACACAGTCACAGTCCACTGAAAAAAGTGTTTCTTTGAAAGAACTTGAAAAAACCATGTCAACTGGTAACACACAGTTGAATCAAGTTTGTTCAAAGTGAACTATAAAGTTTGATTAAAGTAAGATTTTCATTTAGATTTCTTTAAAATTTTAAGCTCATTAAAATTATCCCAACTCCTTTGGTCCAACTTAAAAATGACAAGTTAATTGAAATTACCAAACTACCTTGGTGTAACTTAAAAATTTCAAGTTCATTGAAATTATCCTAACTCCTTTGTCCAACTTAAAAATTTTAAGTTTATTGAAATTATCTTAACTCCTTTGGTCCAATTTATAAATTTCAAGTTAATTGAAATTACCCAACTACTTCGGTCCAACTTAAAAATTCACAAAAAATCAACTCTATATATATTAAAAAACTCTTTGAAAGAACTTGAAGAAACCATGTCAACTGGTAACACACAATCTAATTAAGTTTGTTCAAAATGAAATACAAGGTGTGACTAAAGTTAGAATTTCATTCTGATTACATTGAAATTTGAAGCTCATTTTAACTACTTGGTCTAACTTGACTAAATCAACTCTATTTTCTACTACATTGTTTTTACTTTACAGTGTAAAACTACAAATTAAACAATGTGCGCTTGTTCCTACATAAAATTTTGCCTTCTAACTTTGTAAAAATAAGTACAAAATACATGAAATGTTATAGAAAATACAATACGCAAAATGTAACAAAATTTAATACAAATGCTCTCACAGTTTAACAACACAATGACTTCACATAGTGAATTGCATATAACATCAAAAAGCCAGACATTAAAACTGAATTGTAAACATTTTGGGGAATACCATTGAAGGAAGATAAATGTAATAGCTCGTTATTTTCAGCTGGCTCTGAACAAATCTAACACAGTACAAAAATGACTGAACAATACCTATATCACAAGGAAATTCCAGTGCCTGAGGGTGTACTGCAACTCTCAGTTCTGTCTTTGCTTCAATACACCTGAATAAAATGGCTGAAAAACCTCAGTATGCAGTTCAGGAATCCATAGCCCTGTTAATGACCAGATTATTTGATTCAGGTGTGTTGAAGCAGAGACACAATTAAACGTTGCCGTATACTGGCACTCGAGAACTAGAATTGCTAAACACGGGTTTAAAAAGTCAGCTGATGTACCATCAATGGTGCCCTTTTAATTTGAACCATAGGCAAAACTCATTTCACTGAAACCTACATGCAATCCAAAATCCATGGCTGAACCAGAATCAAAACCAAGATGCAGCAAAAGAACAAATCTAAACTGAAGTGCATATAAAAAACAGAGTAGATGACACTTGGCTTTAAAGGGATTTTCCAATCCTAAGTAAAACTTTGGTAAATGAGAAAAAAAAACATTCTGTAACAGCCCAGTTTTTCTCCTGTTTTAGCAGCAGTCTATTTGCTTCGTTTTAGCCCAAAAACAATATAAATTAATTTTAACAAAAGCATTTCATTCCCCTTTACCTTTATTGTTTTATGCTCAACTAAAGTAAACTGTCTGTTGCCAGATCAGGAGAATGACTGGACTGGTTACAGAATGTTTTTTCCCCTCACTTATCTAAGTATTACTTAGAATTGGAAAATCCTAGAAATTCTATTTTCAAATTACTTCACCGTCAGTGAACAATCAAGGCTTAGATTATAGTTTCTGCACCATGCTGGGAAAAAAGACAGCTACAAACAACATACCTGTGCTACAGGTACATTTTGGAAAAGGAAATGGCAAAAACTGATCTTGTGGTTGCAAACCACCAATATTAATTCATATTTAGCAGTTTCACATACAGGTTCTGCACCTTTGGAGACATCTTTTGAGGTTCCAGCTCCATTATAATTTTCTGCAACACCTCAAATGTGAAGCGAAGGACCTTTGGATAAGCCAGATTAAGAATGTAGATCAAACCTAACAGGAGTGCACATGCTGTTCCAACTGAGGACAGTCTATCAAGAACCTCTACTCCTTCGATTACAATCCCAATGTCCTCAGGAGGCCCTTGAAGTTCATCTCCCTCGGACCGGATGACATACACAGCCATCGTGACGTCTTCCAGGTCTTTTTGCATCTCTGCTCTGTGACTGTCCTGCAAAACAACACAAAAGTCTGTCAGCTGGCACATTTAGCTTATCATGGCTGGAATCGTCCCTGTACCGAATTTTATTTTTATATTAATCCTTCAACAAAATTTCAATGGATATTTCCTTAGACCAGGGATTCCCAAAGTGTGGTGCGCGCACCCCGTGTAATGGCTGCGGAGCTCAGAGAAGTCTGTCATATGTCACCATTAGCGTAGCCAGAAACTCATTTGTGGGTGGGCCTAAGAAAAAGTAAGTGGGCACAATAAATGTAATTGAAAACAAGTATATTTTTGCGCGTGTGTGTGTGTCCTCCACATGTGCCCTAGCTTCATAATAACAATGCGCCGAGCTTCAGCACTCTGGCCTGCGCACGCCGATATGTTCCATATTTGATCATTTTTAACGATGTTGGAGGAATCTGAAGGTGAGTCATTCTGGCAGATTGTAATTAACATCCCGTCTCATGCAGGTGTTCTGACATTGTAAACACCGCGGTCAAGTGACCCAGTCACATAACCAACATGGACGAAGTGCCGCTCACCTTTGACATCCCGGTGAATCACACTGTTGAGAAGAAGGGGACTAGCACGGTACCGATACGCACAACGGGACGCAAAAAATCTGCATTTACTGTTGTGCTTGGCTGCCATGCTAATGGACAGAAACTGCCACCTATGGTGATTTTTAAGAGAAAGACTCTGCCTAAAGAGAAATTTCCAGCTGGAGTCATCGTCAAGGCTAACGAAAAGGGCTGGATGGATGAGGACAAAATGAAAGAGTGGCTGAATGAGGTGTATGTGAAGAGACCAGGCGGTTTTTTTCCACACGTCACCGTCCCTGTTGATCTATGACTCCATGCGCTCTCATCTCACGGACGATGTGAAAAAACGGGTAAAGCAAATTAACTCGGAGCTCGCTGTTATTCCAGGAGGCTTGACAAAGGAACTCCAACCGCTGGACATTGGCGTGAACAGGGCGTTCAAAGTAAGGCTACGAGCCTGGATTTGATGATTAATTACTGGTAATAGCGCTCAAATAAAGCACAACCAAACTCATATTTGCTCCCACTGCCTTTTTTAATAAAACACAATTCAAATCACACTATTTTCTTAGGCCTTTTAATAACAAACATATGATTTTGTTCATGTGGAAAGTTTATGTGGTTAAATCTACCAACTAAACACATTCTGAACTTCAACATAGCGCATAAGGGGATGTGAATCTTCCGTTTTGTTTTGCTGTGCCAGGTTGGAGGGAATTAAGGTTATTTAAGTGGTTCAGAGTTTAAAAAAAAACAGTAGATATGTTTCACAAGGTGCTGCTAGTTATGTTAAATCTTACTTCTGATTTTACTATTTAAAACAATAATAATCAACTTCTTCATGTTTGCTCAGAGATGTACAGAGCTGTTGTCCTTCGGGAGTGCTGCAGGAGGACACACAGGGATATATGGGGGTTGGATGAGGAAAACGAAATAAAGCAAAACTGTTTTGTGATCAGTTTAATTTGACATGAACACGACAAACACGCTTCCTTGACAATCTTTGTGAGTAAAAAAAACGTGTAGAAATAAAAACGAACATGTGATATTAGAGAAATAGCGGGCAAGCGGTGTTGATGCATGATTGCGCATGCGCCGTGAGCAGTTCTGGTACTTTTTGGGTCTCAGCCGCTTGCTGCACCACTTCAACCGTGCAATCGTGAGCTCGCACGGACTTCTGGCGTGTTATTTTGCTCGTCCCTCGTGAGGATATCGCAAAGTTGAAGCGGCGCTGCGAGCAGCTGCGACCCAATAAGTATCAGAACCGCTCACGACGCATGCGCAATCATGCATCAACACTGCTCGCCCGCTATTTCCCTAATAACACACGCTGTTCGTTTTTATTTCTACACGTTTTTTATTCACAAAGATTGTCAAGAAAGCGTGTTTGTCTTGTTCATGTCAAATTAAACTGATCACAAATCACAGATTTACTTTCTTTATTTCGTTTTACTCATCCAACCCCCATAAATCCCTGTGTCCTCCTGCAGCACTCCCGGTGTACGACCGGCTTTAGTAGGAGGGAGACCCGCAATTATCGCTTTGTCACGCGTGTCTCATTGAAAATGAATGGAGGAGAGGCGAAGTTGCCTCCCGAGTGTCGAGCCCATTAGAAGAGCACGAGCCGTCAGCGCACGCAATGAGGAAGTGCACGTGCGCTCTAAACCAGGTCTGAACCAGGACTAGACCAGTAATGGGCTCGACACACAGGAGGCGACAAACGACCGCGATCAGCGAAATTTGTCGCTGTCGCTTTTATTACCTGTCACACGGGAGGCGATCCGCGGCAGCGGCAAAGCCTCTACGCGTTCTGTTCCATGGCGAAATCGAAACTTCCGTTGTTTTGCTTGGCTGTGTCAGGTTGGAGGGAATTAAGGTTATTTAAGCGGTTCAGAGTTAATAAAGTGGTAGATATGATGTTTCACAAGGTGCTGCTAGAGTTATGTGAAATCTTACTTCTGATTTTAATATATAAACATAATAATAATCAACTTCTCCATCATGTTTGCTCGGAGGTGTACGGAGCATCCTGTCCGCTCATTGGTCAGTGAATGAAACCTCCGTTGATTGGTCCTCGTCCGAGCGACAGCGATGAAAAGTTGAAAATGTTTCAACTTTCTGGGATCGTGTCGCTGGATCGTCCGTGCACGACACGTGCACGAGTGCAAACTTTCACATGCACGTTTTTCGCTTGGTAGGAGAGAGACCCGCGATTATCGCTTTTTCGCACATGTCTCATTGAAAATGAATGGAGGAGAGGCGATGTCGCCTCCCGTGTGTCGAGCCCATAAAGTGAAGCATGCTTTTGGCTGTTATAATTTTCACAATGTCTGGTTTGCACTGATATGTTCCGAGTCCCAAACCCGCACAGATGTTTTACCGGTACGTTTTACCGTGCCCACGCCCGCACCCTATAACCTGGTGCGCCTTTTGTATGTGTTAAATACCAAAAAGACACGTAACTGAAGCTGCGCCTTATGGTCGTGAAACTACGGTATTTTCTTTTAAAAGAACCGCAGTCTGCGCACAAAGTAAAAAAAAAAACATCATCCTTTGTTGTTTTCTTCCGTGATATCCCACGCTATCCTCAATGCTGTCCCCCTGTTTACCTGCCTTCCTTCCCCCCGCCTGCTGTCTCCGCCCATGGCCCGATTCCTCAGACAGCAATCTGAACACAACTGGACCGAGACCGGCCGAGTGATGCTGGGCCAAAGTGAGCTGATCTGATCCTTGTGTGAAAGCGCTATGAGGCTGCCACGTCTGGTAATTTTTGGTATTTTAGTAAAACTTAATTTTCTACCAAATATTGTCCTTGTGGTGCCCAAAAGGACAATAGTTCTAAGCTAAACACTTTATACACACAATCATTCAGAACATTTTTATTTACCCGTTTAAAGATTTACTTACCGTGTATTCTTTGATGAAAGCACTTCCATCCTCTCCAAGGAAAGGGACGAGGGCTTTCAGGACACACTCTCTTTTTTTGTTGACGTCTTCGGTCTAGTTTTGAGGGATACAATGTAATAAGAAACAAAGCCAACATTGTGTTTTTCTTTGGTTACTCATCATTGGTCTCCTGAATTTAGTTCACCTGGTCAAAGATTTGTGTCAGCCCAGATATCTTCTCCCTGGTTGATCCTCCTCTTGAGCGAATGGCGGTCATCAATTTGGTGGAGTACTTGTCAAGTTGGGAAAAAAACTTCTGCTCTGGGGGAAGAGCTACAAGCCTCTGGAACTCTGCATTGATCTGCAAGAAAAACATAAAAGCTTTAATATATAAAGCCTCTGTCAACGATTAAATTAAATAACAATGTCTTCTTACCTCTCGTTGATCAAAAAGAGCCGGCCATCAACCCTTAAAATCCTGGATTCTTGGCTCACCGTCCACCACCTCTTGTCGCCTGTATGCAAAAGTGCGTGCCATTTTGTCTGCAATGACCCGGTCATTGTGTCTTATTTTCACTTCAGTCAGAAGTGAAAGTCTTTCCTGTTCAAGGGATTCGGAAGTGTCCCCAGTTGGCAAAGATGGATAAAAGTTAGCTTCTGCCCTTTTAGGCCTTTTTACGTTTCTGCCAGAAGATCCTTCTGTAACTTTGGACTTCATGGAGTTAACAGCTACCTCTGGGCACCCGTGCAGTCTGAGCTGGGTTCTAAGATTTCCCATTTTGTACTTGAGCCTCTGCTTCCATCCGTACCATCCATTTGAGGATCCAGGTTCCTTCAAACACGGATGTTTTTTGATTAAAGCTTCTGCCACTGCAACAAAGTGTTCATCACATGGATAAGCTTTGTACTTGAAGATTTCTTCAGATACTTTGTTCAGAATGTCAGATTTGGTTCTTGTGCTGAGATACACCAATTTGGAGGATGATTTGTATTCAGCATTTCCCCTTTCAAGCACAAGCTCGGTGTCATACGAAAATTGTGGAATAGGAAACACCGCCGGCCACTGCACGCTTCGAAATGACAGTTTTGGAGGAGAAGGGAGTATGTTTGTGTTGTTTGATGCCTGTAAAGAGCAATCAACAGCATCAAAAGTGGCACAAGCTGATGAAACATCATCAGTAAGTGTGATTATGAGTGGAACAACTTCCTGTTGAACCACCTTGATTGTTCCCAAATCCTGCAGTTCAGAGGTTGCGTTTAGATTGAAGAACTCATTTCCAAAATCTTGGTCCATGTATTGCAGGCGAATTTCTGTTGTGATTCCAAAGGTGTTCTTTACGACATTGACAAGTTCTAATAAAGACTGGGGTATACCATTTGGAAGAATCAATTTTTCCACATTGTTTTCGCCCAAGATGACTTTAAGTCTTGCTGCAGCTCGGAAGCAGCTGTGCGTCCAGAAAGCGCGAGATTACCTCACCTCAGCGGCAGGTGCGAGCTGACGAGGCGTGTCATTTGTGACTGCTCCAGCTGCTGCGTGTGCATCTGGCAAAAGGAAAATCTGATTGCTCAACTTGGAATGGGCCTCACTGAGAGGAATAGAAGAGAGGAGACTCGACATCTGGTGAGTTTATTTTGCTGTCGGAATGTTCAGGAGGTACTGTCGCCATGGAAACACATATACAGTATATGCGATATCAGTAGATCCTTGCATGTCCGCCTAGACGCCCGTCCAAATTGGTCAAAATATTGACATTAGCTGTGCGTTCAACTCGTCCTGCACGCCCGGCAAGGTGCGACTTCACCTGCGTCCGAACAGAGGAGTGTACAGCAATTTTAACGCCAGAATCGCGTGCGGTGGTCACGTACCATTACAGACTGCACACGATTCTGGCGTTAAAATCGCTGCAAACATCTATTTGGACGCACCTGCAATCGCACCTTGCCGTGCGTGCAGGAAGAGTTGAATGCGGGGCTAAATGTAAGTATTTTAATCGATTTGGTCAGGCGTCTAGGCGGACATGCAAGGATCTACTGATCCACATAGACTGTATATGTGTTTCCATGGTGACAGTACCTCGTGAAGGGTTCCAACAGTAATATAAACTCACCAGGGTATCCAGTCTCCATCTTCTATTCCTCTCAGCGAGGTCCATTCCAAGTTGAGCAGTCAGCTTTTCCTTTTCCCAGGCGTCACGCAGCAGCTGCAGCAATCGCAAAACACACGCCTCGTCAGCTCGCATCTGCCGCTCAAGTGAGGTGATTGCGTGCTTTCTGGACGCACAGCTGCTTCTTAGTCACAGTCACAGTCCCTCTCCCTCACACAGTCACAGTCACAATCACAGTCACAGTCCCTCTCCCTCACACTGTCACAGTCACAGTCCCTCTCCCTCACACAGTCACAGTCACAGTCCCTCTCCCTCACACAGTCACAGTCACAGTCACAGCCCCTCTCCCTCACACAGTCACAGTCACAGTCCCTCTCCCTCACACAGTAAGAGTCACAGTCACAGTCCCTCTCCCTCACACAGTCAGTCACAGTCCCTCTCCCTCACACAGTCACAGTCACAGTCACAGTCCCTCTCCCTCACACAGTGACAGTCACAGTCACAGTCACAGTCCCTCTCCCTCACACAGTCAGTCACAGTCCCTCTCCCTCACACAGTCACAGTCACAGTCACAGTCCCTCTCCCTCACACAGTCACAGTCACAGTCCCTCGCCCTCACACAGTCACAGTCCCTCTCCCTCACACAGTCAAAGTACCTCTCCCTCACACAGTCACAGTCACAGTCCCTCTCCCTGACACAGTCACAGTCACAGTCACAGTCCCTCTCCCTCACACAGTCACAGTCACAGTCCCTCTCCCTCACACAGTCACAGTCACAGTCCCTCTCCCTCACACAGTCACAGTCACAGTCACAGTCCCTCTCCCTCACACAGTCACAGTCACAGTCCCTCTCCCTCACACAGTCACAGTCACAGTCACAGTCCCTCTCCCTCACACAGTCACAGTCACAGTCCCTCTCCCTCACACAGTCAGTCACAGTCCCTCTCCCTCACACAGTCACAGTCACAGTCCCTCTCCCTCACACAGTCACAGTCACAGTCCCTCTCCCTCACACAGTCACAGTCACAATCCCTGTCCCTCACACAGTCACAGTCCCTCTCCCTCACACAGTCACAGTCCCTCTCCCTCACACAGTCACAGTCCCTCTCCCTCACACAGTCAAAGTCCCTCTCCCTCACACAGTCCCTCACAGTCACAGTCCCTCTCCCTCACACAGTCACAGTCACAGTCCCTCTCCCTCACACAGTCACAGTCACAGTCACAGTCACTCTCCCTCACACAGTCAAAGTCACAGTCCCTCTCCCTCACACAGTCACAGTCACAGTCACAGTCCCTCTCCCTCACACAGTCACAGTCACAGTCACAGTCCCTCTCCCTCACACAGTCACAGTCACAGTCACAGTCCCTCTCCCTCACACAGTCAAAGTCACAGTCCCTCTCCCTCACACAGTCACAGTCACAGTCCCTCTCACTCACACATTTACAGTAACAGTCACAGTCCCTCTCCCTCACAGAGTCACAGTCACAGTCCCTCTCCCTCACACAGTCACAGTCACAGTCACAGTCACAGTCACAGTCACAGTCACAGTCACAGTCCCTCTCCCTCACAGAGTCACAGTCACAGTCCCTCTCCCTCACACAGTCACAGTCACAGTCCCTCTCCCTCACACAGTCACAGTCCCTCTCCCTCACACAGACACAGTCCCTCTCCCTCACACAGTCACAGTCACAGTCACAGTCCCTCTCCCTCACAGAGTCACAGTCACAGTCCCTCTCCCTCACACAGTCACAGTCACAGTCCCTCTCCCTCACACAGACACAGTCCCTCTCCCTCACACAGACAAAGTCCTTCTCGCTCACACAGTCACAGTCAAAGTCCCTCTCGCTCACACAGTCACAGTCACAGTCCCTCTCCCTCACACAGTCACAGTCACAGTCCCTCTCCCTCACACAGTCACAGTCCCTCTCCCTCACACAGTCACAGTCCCTCTCCCTCACACAGTCACAGTCCCTCGCCCTCACACAGTCAAAGTCCCTCTCCCTCACACAGTCACAGTCCCTCTCCCTCACACAGTCACAGTCCCTCTCACTCACACAGTCACAGTCCCTCTACCTGACACAGTCACAGTCACAGTCACAGTCACAGTCCCTCTCGCTCACACAGTCACATTCACAGTCCCTCTCCCTCACACAGTCACAGTCCCTCTCCCTCACACAGTCACAGTCCCTCTCACTCACACAGTCACAGTCCCTCTACCTGACACAGTCACAGTCACAGTCCCTCTCCCTCACACAGTCACAGTCACAGTCCCTCTCCCTCACAATGTCACAGTCACAGTCTTTCTCCCTCACACAGTCACAGTCACAGTCCCTCTCCCTCACACAGTCACAGTCACAGTCCCTCTCCCTCACACAGTCACAGTCCCTCTCCCTCACACAGACACAGTCCCTCTCCCTCACACAGTCACAGTCACAGTTACAGTCCCTCTCCCTCACAGAGTCACAGTCACAGTCCCTCTCCCTCACACAGTCACAGTCACAGTCCCTCTCCCTCACACAGTCACAGTCACAGTCACAGTCCCTCTCCCTCACAGAGTCACAGTCACAGTCCCTCACACAGACACAGTCCCTCTCCCTCACACAGTCACAGTCACAGTCACAGTCCCTCTCCCTCACAGAGTCACAGTCACAGTCCCTCTCCCTCACACAGTCACAGTCACAGTCCCTCTCCCTCACACAGTCACAGTCCCTCTCCCTCACACAGACACAGTCCCTCTCCCTCACACAGACACAGTCCCTCTCGCTCACACAGTCACAGTCAAAGTCCCTCTCCCTCACACAGTCACAGTCACAGTCACAGTCCCTCTCCCTCACACAGTCACAGTCACAGTCACAGTCTCTCTCCCTCACACAGTCACAGTCCCTCTCCCTCACACAGTCACAGTCCCTCTCCCTCACACAGTCACAGTCCCTCGCCCTCACACAGTCAAAGTCCCTCTCCCTCACACAGTCACAGTCCCTCTCCCTCACACAGTCACATTCGCAGTCCCTCGCCCTCACACAGTCACAGTCCCTCTCCCTCACACAGTCACAGTCCCACTCACTCACACAGTCAAAGTCCCTCTTCCTCACACAGTCACAGTCACAGTCCCTCTACCTGACACAGTCACAGTCACAGTCCATCTCCCTCACACAGTCACAGTCCCTCTCCCTCACACAGTCACAGTCACAGTCACAGCCCCTCTCCCTCACAATGTCACAGTCACAGTCCCTCTCCCTCACACAGTCACGGTCACAGTCCCTCTCCCTCACACAGTCACAGTCACAGTCCCTCTCCCTCACACAGTCACAGTCACAGTCCCTCTCCCTCACACAGTCACAGTCACAGTCCCTCTCCCTCACACAGCCACAGTCCCTCTCCCTCACACAGTCACAGTCACAGTCCCTCTCGCTCACACAGTCCCTCACAGTCACAGTCCCTCTCCCTCACACAGTCCCTCACAGTCACAGTCACAGTCCCTCTCCCTTACACAGTCACAGTCACAGTCCCTCTCCCTCACACAGTCACAGTCACAGTCCCTCTCCCTCACACAGTCACAGTCACAGTCCCTCTCCCTTTCACAGTCACAGTCACAGTCCCTCTCCCTCACACAGTCACAGTCACAGTCCCTCCCTCTCCCTCACACAGTCCCTCACAGTCACAGTCACAGTCCCTCTCCCTTACACAGTCACAGTCACAGTCCCTCTCCCTCACACAGTCACAGTCACAGTCCCTCTCCCTCACGCAGTCACAGTCACAGTCCCTCTCCCTTACACAGTCACAGTCACAGTCCCTCTCCCTCACACAGTCACAGTCACAGTCCCTCACCCTCACACAGTTAGAGTCACAGACACAGTCCCTCTCCCTCACACAGTGACAGTCACAGTCCCTCTCCCTCACACAGTCACAGTCACAGTCACAGTCCCTCTCCCTCACACAGTCACAGTCACAGTCACAGTCCCTCTCCCTCACACAGTCACAGTCACAGTCCCTCTCCCTCACACAGTCACAGTCACAGTCCCTCTCCCTCACACAGTCACAGTCACAGTCACAGTCCCTCTCCCTAACACAGTGACAGTCACAGTCACAGTCACAGTCCCTCTCCCTCACACAGTCACAGTCACAGTCCCTCTCCCTCACACAGTCAGTCACAGTCCCTCTCCCTCACACAGTCACAGTCACAGTCCCTCTCCCTCACACAGTCACAGTCACAGTCCCTCTCCCTCACACAGTCACAGTCACAGTCCCTCTCCCTCACACAGTCAGAGTCCCTCTCCCTCACACAGTCACAGTCACAGTCCCTCTCCCTCACACAGTCAGAGTCCCTCTCCCTCACACAGTCAC